GAGGAAATCATGGAGATTTTTTTCGATATATGCCAGTTGCAAAATGTGTAATTATATTTTTTTCACTTCTGAAATTCCACTAATCTTGATTGAAAATTTATTGCTGAATATTAAATCAAAAATGTGGTATTTTTAAATTTCAAGTTGACGTTTTATTGTAAACTCGATTAATTTATCAAGAATTTGTATAATGAGTTAATATTAAAATTACTTAATTTAAGAGAATAAATTAAGTTGAAGAAATGAGTTCCTAAGATGTTCTTTAATAATAATCAGTCAGTCAGCTACAGTGTAGGACTAGGCACATATATGCATCAGTCCAAGTTGTCATACCACATTAGCACAACAAGATGAACACCGAATTCATAGAAGTAGTTAATTCGATGGTGGTGATATATAAAAGAAAGATTGTATATAAGGACACAGCACAGGAAGAAAGAATTAGTTCGTAGAATGAAAGATATAAATCAATTTTATTATCATAGTTCAGGGGAAGACAGAGAGTGTATATACCGACGGCATTGTGATCGATTCTGAGTCATTTCACCCAGTCTCCGAACATTGGTTACGATAGTCACGCGGACCTCAACCAAGTAGTCTGCACCTACCAACATGACTTAGACTAGAAGTTGGTGAATTCAAGGACTGATGTCACGTTTTGGTTTGGTTTCTCCTAACTTTCTTCCGACCGTCTACAACACTAGTCTGCATTGCACCTGGTGGTAATCGGTGTTCAGGCATATGTAACACATGACCTAATCATCTCAGTTGATGAAGATTCACTACCTCACCAACTGACTTACCATCATTCCCTTATACCCTGCGTCGAACCGCATTAATACTCGCTCGGTTATCCCAGCAGATGCGAGCAATATTTCTAAGGCATCTGTGATCAATTACTAGTAGCTCACAAATATCTTTTACTCTTAACGGCTACCTTTACGCAGCCGTAAAGTAGAACAGAACACGTCCGTTAACTGATAGGCAGATATCTTGCGTTCGCCATAGGTGACTCAAGCTAGCAAGAGCCAAACGAGCTTTCTGAATTCGTGCTAAGATTTCATCAGACACCAACCCATTAGGGCTGATTAGACTTCCGAGATAACGCGTTTGACTACTTCACTCCCTATCCTTATTTCAGGTGTTGATGCAGACCAGTCCTGAAGCAACAACTTGCATTTAAAGGGAGAGAAGCGCATCCCAAACATTCTGGCATTGTTACTTAATGCTACCAATAGATTCTGAATTTTATTAGCGTTCTCACCAAACAGGACTATGTCATCTGCGTTTTCTAAGTCGATAAGTGGACCTCCTGGTAGGAGATCAATCCCCAGAAATTCAGTCGATGAGAGCGCTATTATCAGCAGTAGGTCTATGGTGAAGTTAAACAAAAATGGAGAAAGTGGACAGCCTTGACGGACACCACTTGAGGTTGCCAAAGCAGATGACAGTTCACCATAAGCTCTGACTCGATTAGTAGTGTTCGAGTAAAGAGCCTTCACAAGGTTTATGTACTTCTGAGGTACGCCTTTCAATGACAGACACTGCCACAGAATCTTGATGTCTACAGAATCAAATGCCGCTTTTATATCAAGAAAGACCACCATTATTGGACGCCGATAAGTATGCATATGTTCTAGAACCTGACGAATGGTGAATATGTGGTCAATGCAGCCACGACCAGGTCTGAAGCAAGCCTGATTTTCCCGTGTTTGCAGTTCACGAGTCTTAGTTAGGAGTCCGATAATTATTGAGGCTAGTATTTTAGATGCTATGTTAGTCAAATTAATCCCTCTATGGTTATCACATTGGTGATTTTGACCCCTTCTTATATATTGGGACAATCAGTGATTGCGACCAGTCTGACGGGATTACGTCAGACTCCCAGATCTTAGCTAAAATATTAGTAAACCTAATCGCTAAAATTGGACCACCGTCTTTAAAGACCTCTGGAGCCAATCCATCTGAACTAGCCGCTCTTCCTCCTTTCAGATTAAGTATAATAATAATGAAAGAATAGTCTATTCTTTGGTGGTTATATAATACTTTCCTATTATTGTTATGGAAAACAGGCACCCTCACCTTAACATTTTTAAATAACTTAAATTTAACAGTAAGCAGAGTGAAGATTATAATATTGGGTAGTAATATGATCGATGAACAAGGAGGTTCAGATGCAGAAGTAAAGGCGAAAATTGGCAAAGCAAGGGTCGCATTCCTACAATTGAAGAACATATGGAACTCAAAACAACTTTCAACCAATATCAAAGTGAGAATCTTCAATACGAATGTCAAGACAGTTCCACTGTACGGAACTGAAACTGAGAGAACAACAACCACCATCAAGAAGGTACAAGTATTTATAAATGGTTGTCTACGCAAGATACTTAACATCCATTGCCCGGATACCATCAGCAACAGCCTACTGTGAGAGAGAACAAACTAGCTTCCAGCTGAAGAGGAAATTAGGGAAAGACGATAGAAATGGATAGGACATACATTACGCAAATCGTCAAACTGTATCACGAGACAAGCCCTAACTTGGAATCCTGAGGGGAAGTGAAAAAGAGGAAGGCCAAAGAACACATTACGTCGGATAATAGAAGCAGATATGAAAAGGATGAATTACAACTGGCAGGAGCTGGAAAGGATTGCCCAGGACAGGGTTGGATGGAGAATGCTGGTGAGCGGCCTATGCTCCTTCACGAGGAGTAACAGTCATAAGTAAGTATTAGCACCTATAAGATTATAAATAAGCTTTGCTGACGAAAAAGTATTTATCATGAAATCAAAATTTTGAACATTTTATTGTTTTCTATCGAACATTGACTTTTAAACATTCGTCAATAAATGATATGATTTAGTTAAATTATAAATGTTAAAAACATTTTAAAGTCATAAAAATTTAAGAGATGCATAATTTCATTTTGTTTTGATGAAATACAAAGTAGAACTAATTGGATTGAGATAGAATTTGTCAATCGAAAACTAATAATAGTCTACATTTTCATGAACTTCAGAAATCTTTGAAATGAAAAAAATACTTTTAAAGGTTTTCTTCTTATATTTCATATTTTCTATTGTTTTATCTAGAAACTAAGGGTATTTTTGCAAGAATCAGTTATATCTAAGTATTATGTGTAAGTGAAAGTTTCATTCAATCGATTTTAATTACATAATTCAGAGTTCTATATTTGTATAGTATGTCCATCTAAAACTAATATCTTATTACATTCTTCTGATCCAACTGACAGAGACCTCATTAGAAAAAACAAACTTAAATCACATTTCACTATAAATATGTTTTGTAGGTCATGAACATTAATTAGTTTGATAACATTTTAACAGAATCAAAGTAGATACCGAAATATTGCGTCATATCAGGTAGGATACATTTGGAAATAAGCTTTAATAATAATGGTTGAAAAACTTAAACTTTCCATTTTGAGGTCTCATTTTATCGGCAAATATTATGATTTGGTTATTATAATTATCAGAGATTGAAATCATGAGTCAGTTGACGCTAGACCACCATTGAAAACCTGGAAGCACTGGACGGCCGTTTCGTCCTAGTATGGGACTCCTCAGCAGTGCGCATAAATAAATTCCTTTGGCGATATAATGTCCTTAGAATTTTATTACCCGTTTATATCTTTGTAAGATAGAATACCCTTTAAATAAGTGTTAAATACACTGACATTAGAGTAGATAAAGAAACTGCACATATTTGATGAAGACCTAATCTCTTTCATCTATGTTAGATAAATCAGCACCATTTCTATAGACATTATATTTTCAAGTGAAATGTTTGTTAGGAGAGGCATTTTAAGGAGCTTATTACCAGTGGTATATAAACTTGCATTTACGCAATTGAAGAAGAAACATATCAATGACCTGAAATTGTCTTACTGATTACTAAACCAATCTATTTACGCTACTTGTAAGTAGCATAAAGACAGTTTGTTAAATTAATCCAGGAGCTCTAATTCGTCCTGCAAATTGTACGTAATAAGTTTATAATACTCTACATACTTACTTAATCATGTCAAATATGGTCGACAGAACGTCTATATATTAGTAAATTGTCAGCTTCTTACAAAATACAAAGTTTTAACATTTAAGGTGTTTTCTAACAAAAAATAACACCACAAAAGTAACAAATTATCAGTCTCATGATACATTATCAAGGTCAAAGAATAAAGTTTCAAAAAATGAACATAAATATATGTATGTACATCTTTTTACCAGACGATAGACAATCCTTTCTGAATTAACACAAATCTAAGTAGTATATACTAACACTACTAATCTTGTTTGTTTGTACCAAATATTTGTTTCGTTTCTTTGTATTAATGCTTATAGTAATTTGAATAGGGTTATCTCTTCTTTGAATAAGACTCACATACTTTCTTTTTTCGGTAGCCAGATCTCTTAAAACCGTTTATATAGTCTATTTGTTACTTACCATTTTTGAAATTGAACCATTGCAATTCCTATGGAATTTCACGCAAGAGAATTCTTGATTTCTACTACTGGGGTTGAAGATATTTCTCCTTCATAGGTTTGTTACTTCTTGATACGTCAATTTATTGCCTTGCTTTTAAGAGTATTGTCAATATATGTACACGAAAGAGCGATCATTAAAATTTAGTCTTTCCTATAAATCTTTTGGACAATATTTGGATTCTTAACCAACTCTGGCTTACAAGAGTACAAGGAAATCTCTGTTCAATGAATAGAATATATGAATGATTCTCAGTATAGCCATATTGTATGGCTTTCTTACTGTCGATTTGACCAATCAGTAACAAATCCCAATTATTATTCCTGAGTAATAAAATAACTTCATGTCCCAAATTATTTCAATTAAAAAAATAAAAAGATATTTGAGTACGAAAATATAATTCCATATAAAATATCTTAAGGAAAAGGAAAATTATAAATACCAACTAAAAAGGTATAAATATGAAGTATATAAGTACAAACTTTCAATAGTTTTGCTAAGACTTAAGTTTAGGGAAAAATTTCCAGCCTGAGGCACTTTCAACACTTTCAACAGGAACTCTAAAACCATCCACTTTAATTTGCTCAGGTAAACGAATATTGGGCATTACCCAAGCTACTTGATGCCATTCTCCATTTGGTTTATTTTGAATAGCTGCCACTTTGAAGAAATGAGTTGGAACTGCAATATTATTGTTACCAATTACTTCATAGGTCACAATTTTCTTGCCATTTACACTTCTGAAATAATATTGGAAAATAGTTTTAATTAACAAAACGTTTAGAGATATACATTGCACAGACAAAATAGAAAATTATGTTTAGTATGGCACATGTGAAATGATGAATTGATGGGTATAATAAAATTGCTATATTGACAAACCATTAATGTTCGAGATAAGGACTCTTGAACTTATTGTGAGCCTTAGTAGGCATACTGATCAGATAAGCGGCATGTATTTCTTTTTTTTGTAATAAAGTACACAATTATATCAACTGCACTCTGATTGGTCAATAACTAAGTTATTTTCGGAGTTGTTCAAAGTTGCCAGTATAGTATAGTTTTATCATTTTAATAGCACTCAAAGTTAATTTAACTGATGGAATGATTAGACTCACCTTCAGAAACTACTTCAGTTTGAGCAGTCATGGTGCATTATTTTTTCTTACCACATGAAAGGTGTGGCTCAATGTCGAATACATGAACCTGTGCTTAGTTACAGACATTAAATTTCGATAAAAAGTCAATATCTGTGAACTTTTACATTATTTAGCCAAAGCAACCTTAGATTCCTAAACGAAAACAACTACTATTCGGTGACTTGAATTATGAATTGATTCAATCGAAATGGTTAGTTATACAGCTTGTTCTTTTGTATTCAGCAATCTCAAGATCGGTTGATGTCAGCACAAAAATAATTCATATTCTACAATCTGAGATTGAATCAAATCGATGAGTTTTGTCAGGGTTAATTAAATTACTCGATACACCTAGACACATTCCAGCTTTAACTAAGATCAATATATATACATGAACAATCTATTATTCTTATTACCAAAAGGAAATTGAGTAATCAGACATCAAAATGTAATTAGATTACTTACTGGGGTAGAAATAATGGTCCTGTAATAACAACCATATTGTGTGACTTTCTTGCAACCGCACGTATATACTTCTCTAGGGTATTCCAACCATGCCGATTGAAACCATACCCAACCTAGATTAAAGTTGAAACAATACACACGTAAACAAACACCATCTATTAGAAAGCTTGGTCGTATACTACTGGAAACATAAAATAAACTCAACGATACCAAGAGTATCAGAAGACGATCGTTTATCATTAATCCTCTCAATAAGTATGTAAACGATAAAATTAATAAATCAATGATTGACAATCACCTAAAGATGATAAATGATTACCGTTTCGTGATTACTTGTATTTTTGAGAGAATTACTTATTCACTTTTAAGTCTTGTATATTTCTCATTTATACTTTTTAAAAACAGCTTTTGGTGGCCCTTTGTCTGACTCCAGTTAGATCTTATGATGAATGCTATTAAAATATACATGCCGCTAAACGTCGTATATTTTTATCGACCTAATTAGCGTTAGAGAATAACGGAATACGTCAAGTACGAGAATGAATCTCAAATACGTATATTTCGTACACTCATTGGTCCAGACAGACAATTAGAGAAATGAAGTGAAGGAAGTGGAGCGAAACAAAGTGGAGGACAGCGCAGAAGACAGGTGGGCCAACTCGTGACTCAATACTTATATTTAGACAAAAATAAGTTACAGACATGTAATGAGTAGGGTGAGCAATTAACACACATACGATCGTATAAAATGTCAGGGTTAACAAGCGAATAATTGACAAGGTCGGAATATAGTTCGACAAAAATGAATAAATTGATCTGTCCAGAAGCTAGGATGACCTATATGAGCTTGACATGGTGCCGACCTCTACAAGCTTTTGGGAACTTTCCATGGAGCACGTAAGTTTAACTTGCGACATAGACTCTTTCTGTAATGTGTAGATGGTTAATAGATTAATATTTTTTATAATTTTCGAAAAAAGAAAAAAAGCTCCAATATCGATACCTACTTGAGGTGCAATATTGCTCAATATAAAAGTTTGTCCCATAGCTGAATGGCTGAGGCGATGATTTCCTGCAGCGGCCAGATGACCACGATCATATCCAGAGTTCAAATAATCTTTGTTAGTAGAACGGAACATTTCAATTTCACCAAGATCTTCATAGAAATCGAAATCCTTACTGTTAATTTTTCAAACAAATATAAGAGTTTAAAAAACAGAGTTAGTTCTCTTAATGTAAGCTTTATTATCCTCTTACGGAGGTTATCACCTAGGAAAATAGGTAGGTGTTCTTCTTTCTTGAATAGTTTTGTAACATTTATAATCGTTTTTAATGGACGCCAAATATATTGAGCTAACTTTGGTCTAGTCAGGAGTTTCGCTTTGAATCAGTTTCCTTGTTTCCCGATGAGGCATGTTAGGTACTAATTGGACAAAAAACAATTAGACTTTTTACTTTTTGTTCACGCTGGTAGATAAAAACTTACATAATGTTCAAACGCTAAAAATGACTTAAACTGACATTTGATATCTCTTTACTCAAACTCGAAAATACGAGAAATTCTCAAACTTGAACTGGATTTACGCTTCATTGAAAATAGCATTTCGAAAGTTTTAAAGTATGAGATCAAGCTCACATTAACCACTATGTAATTTGAACTCCCAATAACTTTCTCCCATAGTTATGTCAAGTGAACTTGTATACACTTGGGAATTTTAGCAAGTATATAGACAATTCTAGTCAGCTTGTTTTGATCTACTGGCTTCCGAGAAAGTGAGTATTATCGGGTATCCAAACTGATGAACTTCTGTATCTCTTGGAAACGTTGGATTCGTAAAAAGTCCTTCCTACATCAAGTATGTATTAACCTATTTTGCTATTATTTAATACAAAATGCGACAGTTGGGATAGTTTAAATTACTGATTATTCAAGATCCCTAAAACGTATTTCAAGACATATTGCCCTTTCGTATTTTGGAAAAATTTACCCGAAAATGCCTCTTTATGAAATATAATACTATTAAAGGATCTTTTGGAAAGAGTTCGTAAAGACATGATATGACGGGAAAGTTAATAGTTATTCGTCGCGTTGTAATACACATTTTGATCCTCGATTAACCATCTGTTAAGCGAAAAGCCATACTATCTTGGTTTAATGTGTTTGGTGTATAAACAGCAGTCTTGACTCATAAACATAATCTATTGGTCAGTGATTCTTACTTCCAATAACTATTCTGTTAGTGTTCAAGGGGTCGGTTTGGTAAGGTAATCATCAGTTCAGCCACCTCAGCCATTCAAGCAATTTATTAATTCCATTATTTTACCGTAATATGGATCACAATAACAAGTATAAGCAATTAAGGTTTTGCCAAGTGACGAAAATGATATTCAATAGTATCCGACCTTGAGTGTCGAAAGCTCACAAGTATGCCAGATTAATAAAATGACAGAAGTTCAAGGTTCGCGAACCTCATAGCTTTTAGTGGGGTTAAATTTTTGTGACCTGAACAGTATAATTACGAAGCTTTCATTGTTCTGGAAATCATGAGTACCTACTTTATGTAAGAGTAAGTTTGTTACCGGTTCCAAAAGTGTTAAATCAGTTCATTCTAATGATCATCCTGTTGAATGGTTGTTTTCAGATTTTTCAATTTCATTTATCTTGGTGCTTTCTTTAGCCATCTTGTTCAATAAACCTCTGATTATGTGAATAGTTCATGGTCTACTTACAGTTAATAATATGACCCTTCTCATGAAATTCATTAACAGGAAATGTAACTTTATCTACTAGTTGAGGGGATCAGTCTGTTCTAATTCTAAGTAATAGTAATATCACCACGTGCTAATTTACAGGCTATTGTAATACAAATTTATAACTAGAGAGCCTTAAAATGTGGTTGTTGAAGACAATTTTTCGTCCAAATATTGACTTTTGTGAATATGCTATACGAGCCCTTTAAATAGTTGATTTCGTCTTTACAAAATATAATCTTTAAATATTTGATCGATATGATGCTGAGAATGAACGAGTAAAATTTAAATCTAGAACAATCCAATAGGTGGTCATTAGTGATTTCCATATTGTAATCCTACGAATTTAGTCTAAATCCCAGTAACATCTGACTGTTAACTAGGATTTATTTTCTATTTTAATTGACTTTGGATTATTGCTTAATTCAATACTCTGGTCTGTTTCCTTTCACGATTACTTAAACTTTATCGGATACTCTTCTAATCAGCTCAATTTGCATCTCAATCAACTTTTTAAGCTGGTAATTCTGACTTTGGGATGTCTATCAACCACAATATATATCAGAAACTCTTGCGATTCATCTTTAAATACCTTTTTATATTGTGTTGTGGTTTAAGCTATTTACTACAATATCATACGTCTTCAAGTAAAATATGTGAAGTTAGTTAAGAGTTAATAAAAAAAGTTGGCTCAAAGCAATCTGATAAAGATCCCAATAAATATATTAAATAAGATAATATTGGTCTAAAATGTCATTCCAGGTGTTAATGAAATAAAAACATACCGATCTACTCCAGCCTTATCAATATCAACTTGATGTAGTTTAGCAGGGTTTAAATGCTCCATTACCCAATATGGAATTCTGTTGCGACGATCATAAACACATATATAGCCGTCAAAAACACGAAGATGACTTGATGATGGCATTCCCAAAGTATGAAAAGCTTCATTGTTTATTGGGAGGTTTGGGGCGCCAACAAGAGAAGGGTAAATTATTTCAGCTGCATTTACAGGCTGTGAGAATGAAACTTTTGGAACTTCCGATTTTAGAATAAAATGGGTAAACGTTGCACCAATTGTTATGTACACGCCAGCTTTCAAGATCTCATATTTTCTCCAACACCGATGTATGCGTTGCGCGATAGATTGCATTTCAGTGAGTACTGAACTACTACTTTATAAAAAAAGTACTCTTAGTTACGAAAGAACTGATATCGTTGTCACAAATAATACAAACAAACAGGGATCAGACACTATTGGTTTTGATTTAGATCATGTGGTTCATACCTTCAAAAAAATACTACTAAGTAATAGAGATTTAGAGGTATACCTACCAAGTGATAATGTAAGGGATTAATGTCTCAACTCTAGGAAATCAATTAGAAGACTTACTTGGTCCCGATGTACTACCTTGCAAGGTTTCATGTTTTTTACTTACGAAAACATACAAATAGTGATATTTGATTACAGATGTCCTTACTGCACAATATCGATTTTAATGTAGAAATACCAGTCTATAGTAATTACTCGGAATACTGTAACACCAAAAATGAAACCTAAAGACACTTGGAAGGTTATTTTTCAGAAGAATTATTTTTGTTACTATCACCACTCTAACATGTTAGAGACCGCCTTCAGAGTTCTCTACAAATAACTTATAGTTTAATTAGCATATTCAGTAAGTATCTGGATGTAAACCACACTAAATGTGAGAGCTAGTGATACTACTCATCCGGTCAAACTGAAAAAGGTAGAGTGGGATTGGAACCCGGAATTTGGACGCCCTGCAGTAGTATAAGCTAGTAGTCATATTTGCTGTATCAAGACTGGTGATAGTTAGGCCAATCGAGACCCAAATTCAGTGGTTGGAAGCTAAACCATATATATATATATTGTTAAGGCTAATTCCAATATCATTAGTACCATGAAAACTGAAAAAGCACTAATAAAGAGTACTTGTGCAACAAGTTTATATTTCTAGTTCTCAAAATAACAGCCTCATTATATTATTATCTAATAATTCTATCAAAAACGAACACGATTGTGGACGTTTATGATGACCAGTTTTTTCAGAGTGCACCCAATATAACTGGAAAGAACGAAATTGCTTAGTTGGAAATTCCAGGAAGCAATCTTGATATCCATCTACTCCCCGTTGCTAATGAATGTAGTCTTCCCTGTAAATAATAGAACGGTATAAACAACAACACTAAGCCTACATTACCAAGAAAAGCAGCTCTTGACACTCACTATCCTGATGGGAAATGTTCTTAAGAAACATAGCTCTATACATTTAGAAGGATAAAATTAGATGATCCGTCATTCAGTTCATACACACACATACCACTGGAACACTAATCATTCTTTATGCTAGTTGCATTGCTCACGTAAATTACTTTTCGATTGTTCGTAAATACTACCAGTCAGGTTTTGGTCTACTTGACGATGATTTAAAAATGCAAAAACGCTAACCGTCAACATAAAGATGATCCATAGAACAGCATTGTTCAAATACACTGCCTAAAACATAGTACAATGATGTGTATTGAAGGAAAACGATTATATCGTATATAGGTCGTTTATTTGTAGTGCTGTGGAAATGGACCTCTGAAATATTATTCTTACACTTCGCTCATCAGCTGATGAGTCATCAAATGACTAAGGTAGATGACTATGTCAAAGTACTGATAATGATAACGCGTTGTTGAAAGAAAAATGTAGGGTTTTTAACACTAATAAGATCCATAAGTAAAGTACGTGAGAAATTCAGGCATACTGAGAAGTCTCGAAGAAAGGCATAATTTATTTGGATGACTTTGGAAAAAAAGCCAAACAGCCTGTACATAAAGGTTTGTATCGACAAACTGATTTGTAGGTTTAAATAAAAGAAGTTCGAAGCATCTTTGAGGGTGGGATGAATATACACATTAGTGGAGCTGCATTCGTTCTTCTTGAAGTTTAACCAACCGATCAAAATGGGCCATATTCTTTGTTTTGTCAAGTGGGAAAGAAGATATAGAAACTGATTTAGAGGTTGAAATAGCATCGCTTTGGTTTGACATCCGCTGGGCGACATGTTCGCTGTAGCTAAGAGTAGATGGTTTAGAAGACCGCGAAGAGATTGAAATTCCGCTGTCACTACTCCGATTGAACTTTTCGAACATGTGGGGATTGCTCGTAGTTTGGAACTGTGAACGTTTTGAATAGGATAAATCTTCACTTATAACTGGAAGATATAAAATAAAAAAGGTTATGAGTGATTACAATGAAGTAATTAAGTTATGCACATTTCACAGGTAAAACAAAGCGCACCCCTTGAAAACAATGAATACGGAAGGCAGTGGGTTTGAATTCTAATTATTTAACAAACAATAATAATGTATTAATATATTCTGGGGATAAATTACAGGAAGAAATCTCTAGGTAAAAGGACTTCCTAGTAAGTGCAACTGTATCAAGTCATTATTGGTTGACACCTTACATCGAAAAGAGCTTTTAATTAGTGTATTAATGGCCACAACTGTAATGAGTGTTAAATAAAGATCTGGGAGAAATATGTATTAGGAACTCAGTCAGCTACAATGCAGGACTAGGCACATATATGCATCAGTCCAAGTTGTCATACCACATTAGCACAACAAGATGAACACCGAATTCATAGAAGTAGTTAATTCGATGGTGGTGATATATAAAAGAAAGATTGTATATAAGGACACAGTACAGGAAGAAAGAATTAGTTCGTAGAATGAAAGATATAAATCAATTTTATTATCATAGTTCAGGGGAAGACAGAGAGTGTATATACCGACGGCATTGTGATCGATTCTGAGTCATTTCACCCAGTCTCCGAACATTGGTTACGATAGTCACGCGGATCCCAACCAAGTAGTCTGTATCTACCAACATGGCTAAGACTAGAAGTTGGTGAATTCAAGGACTGATGCCACGCTTTGATTTGGCCACCCCTAACTTTCTTCAAACCATCCCCAACACTAGTCAGCATTGTACGTCGTGGTAATCGGTGTTCAGGCAAAATCGTATGAAAGCATATAGAAAATCATTATATCACTTGGAAAGGTGAAATCTTTCGGCGAGTATAATTTACGAATGAACCAATCAGATTTACGATAACATATTGGATTTTGGCGTGAAATTCACCCATTTATTTGGATAAATAGAGCTTTGGCATTATAACTGATGTCAGTTCGTTATGAAAACTCTAAATCTAATTCCTAACCCTAACCATCAACTGTAAATTATAATCCTTATTCTTCAAACTGCTTTTTAACCCTTATTTAGCCCTAGTAAGTAAGCTGACACTCTCAAGGTTAGTCTAGCGTCGCTCAAAGGTCACCTATAAATTATAGTCTCACCAACCTTTCTATTAGCGCGTGTCGATACGACAATTGCCGTTAAATTAATCTAATTAATGAACTAAGGACTGCGAAATGACCGAAAGACTAGTAATCAAGTGGGTTGAAATCTCTAGTTAACTATTTGAACAATACAACTTTACTAACTTTGTCTTGTCATTACTCACTAGTTAAGAAAAGGTTTCCGAGTAAATTGTCGTTGGTATATAAGTAAAAAGCTTAGAACTACTTTGTGTGAACGTTTTGAAAATCTGTTTATTTATCTGATCTGTTGAGTATGAAATTGTGAAAAGTTTAAGACAACATCAAAGGCGCATAGGACTTCTGTTATTTGAGATAATAAGGTGCTTACACACGTTAGGAATCTTTAAAAAAATGACTACGAAAAACTTAAGCTTGTCAACATTTACTCCGTGAAAACAAACATACGCACTTACTTCTTTTCATGTCATCTGCTAAGTATCTTGGAAGCATATAGTTGTTTTGGAAGAGATTGTCAACCGGAGAACTGTCGCAAACATCTTGTTGAATCAAATCGAAACTACCAGATGAGGAACCTGCAGGCACACAATCACTATACAGGTGAGAGGAGTCAACACCTTTGAACGAACTTCCATCGTCTCCATTTTTGACATCCATACCAAACAATTCATCAAGAAAACCACGGACCGTTTGAGATTCTTCAGATGCACGGTCATCTACACCTCTACAAACTAACGAGTGTCAATCAATAATTTTACCTTACGTGATAACTGCAGATCAGAGTACACTGAAAATGGGTATGAACACTTGTTTGAGGAGCAGATTCCGTTTATTGAACCAGCAGATGACTTAACTTTCAATAAAGGTACTGAAAAGCCGGAACGCAAGCATTCCGGACAAAAACTCTCCATCTCGCGGCAAAATTCTGCATAAACCGCGTGCAGTCCAATGTTCATCATGTGACTTCAATGTAGTTCAGAAAAGAAGATTCTAAGGGCTTGATTTGAAGTTGTCTATGGAATTTCCCAATATCCCACTTATTGTTATTTGCATTTTTGATAAGTGTCACAACTATTTATCGCACGTTTTAAAACCGGATAGTTGATTCAATTATGAGTGTTTTTTAGTTTTGTGTATTCACTACATCAAAGGCATACCTCGTCCGCCTTAACTTGAGTTGTTCAGGTTAGGGGTTGACATTTTTTTATCCGCTTTGTGGCACTCTTGTTTTTTTCACTATAGTGATTACCTTGCTATTTTGTCGAATCGTTCCACTTAAAATGTGTTTACTGAAGTCATTTGTACTCCAAAATGTGGACAGCAAACTTTTTTATTGGTTCTAGAGAGTTTCACGAAGTGTTTAAGTCTCACTCCACATAAAGGATGCGCGAGAGCTAACTTCCATTGGCTTTGGAGGTCCTGCTGTCAGAGGAAGACACTACTGATCCATGGGGTGGTGAGCCTTCAGGCGCTCGCCAGCTAGAAATTTGATGGTGGCTGCACAGCTTACATGAGCAATGACTATGAAGAACGTGTCAGTATAGTACGCGTTGTTACAAGACGAGCCAAACATCCAACTGCGAAACATAGGAAAGAGAAATTTCTTGTGAAACAAAGAGTGAAATATCACTGAGTGTCGGTGGTCAAGATTTTGATGTAGTACCTGAAGATCCGACTAAAAACGGTTCAAGTAGTCCCTATGTGCCTGTCTCGAGACAAGTGTGGAAACACAGAAGACGAGAAAAAGTCACAATATAGCCCATTTGTTTGAGAAGCCTTTGACAGGCCCTCATACTAAGTCGCATAATATAACGCAAAATTCTAAAGGTGAGATTGAACTTAACCCTGGAGTAGCTGAAAAGAGCTTGATCTCATCGAAATAATAACTTACTAAAGTCAAACGATCCTGATCTAAAAATAAGACACGTACATGATTACGAAAAGGTTGGGGCATTTATTAGTAGCACCTAACCAGATAACTGTACGAGATTTTAGATCAAAAAATTGTCAAGAATAGGTAGGAGACTGCTTAGGTTAAGCCTAAGGTCCGAGGAACAATGAAATCACAACAGTACCGACATTCCAGTAAGAACTAACATGTCTCCGTAAGACAGAATAAGCTGAACAAACAAGGCGTCAAAAATGGTGGAGAAAATTTTCGCCCAGTAGGTTTCAGTTTAGCCAGGTCTTGGAAACGGAATCCGTATGGCATGTATGGATAGGTCGTTCTCTTTATGTGTCTTATGTGCAAATTCAAGTGGTCTAGGAGGAAAATTCAATGGACCGGAAGTACCACTAGACAAATTAAAGCCATTCATCGTAGCTGTGACCTAGGTTTGGTTAGTTTATGTTCCTGGCGTTGCTCCAGAATTGTCGGTACCGATTCCCTAATAAGTGATAGGAATGGATAAAATAGTGGGGGTGAGGTTCATAAATGCATTACTGATACTATAAACATCCGTTCATTTGTTCGTGAATCTCATGGTGTAATTTGTGACGTAACCAGCTGAAAATTCACTTTCGATGGTCGTGACTTTGCACTTGGTGTCATCTATCGTAGCCTAACATGCCTAGCTGGTGACTTTTTTAAAGAGAACATTCAGCTATGAAATAAAAATAACAGATAAGTGATATTAAGAGATTTCAATGTACCTGATATTTGTTGGGCAGAGATGGACACTGTAGGATCTGAGAACTCTTTCGATAGTAGGCTTCTGATAACGGTAACTGGGCATACCTTAATACAACATGCATTCAAACCTACACGTCTTTTCTCAAACCAAAGATTTGTGTTATACTTAGTAATCACCCATGAGACCGAGGATATCGTTAATCTAAATATTTTCCCACCATTACCATATGGTGTTCATGCTGTTTTATCATTCGTGTTTAGGGCTTCTGACACAATATACAATCAGGTCAAAGCTCGCCCAAATGTATGGAGGAAAAATATTGGCCACCCAAGAGTGAAATACAATAACAAATCGATCAATACATACTAGCTAATCAATTAGAGAAACATAGTCAATATTTTAAGGCATGACTGACCTATCCACGTTCCCGTCTATATCGTGATTAGTATTATGTACAGCAAACAACTCACCACTGATAACCAAACAGGTCATAAAACTTCTTACACGTAAGAAAAAGCATTGGAGTATGTTTATCTCTACAGATTCTAAACATTATAGGTCCATTTATTGTAAGACAAGGAATGCTTGCAAGGCGTTGGTAAGGCTAGACATTTATGTGAAAAAACACTTATTTCGGGATTATGAAAATAGTTCGAAAAGATTGTTTTCTTATATCAAGAGGCTATCTAAGAAAAGTGATGGAATCTTACCACATTTGACACGAAAAAATCCGTTTATATGGACAAGAAATGATAATGAAGAAGCTTTATCAAGATATTTTAGAAGTGTCTTCCACCAACATTGGCGAGCAACCAACAATTAATTTTGATGATGATGGCTTGCCGACAGATCCTGTAGTCGTTGAGAAAGGAGCTGCATTACAAGCACTTCAACATCACGAACCGGATATGTCTAGTGGTCTTGACGTCATTCATTCTGTGATTATGAAAGCCCAGGGGTACTTAATTGCTGAGCTTCTATTTATAATGTTTGATACGATTTTGTGGCAGTTCAGACTGAAAAGAGACTGGAAAGAAGAAGTCATCAGTCGGGTGTATAAGGCGGGATGCAGGACTTATTTAGTTGCTATGACATCGTTAGTCTAACAAGTTTTGTTGTCAAACTAATGGAATAGCTTATTTGGATGGCTGTTTTAAACTATATGAAAGAGATCAATCTCTTGTCCAAAGAACAACACGGTCTTAGGAAAGGCCTATTATAATCGATAAATCTACTCATTACAAGAGATTAGGCTGCAACAAATGTTAGTAATATTCTGGCAGATGTAATCTTCATAGGTCTAAGTAAAGCCTTTGACAAATTCTCTCACCTGGGTTTTGTGATCCATTAAGAAATCACAGACTGGATACATGACTTTCTTAGTTATAGGAGACATAGGGTACGGATAAATTAAGCCATATCGGCGTAAGAGTTTGTAAAATGTGGAGTTCCCTAGGGTGCAGTCATCGTTCCCTTTTCTCACCGAGTAGTAGTTTACTGGAATTTTCTACCAGAACACTTAATATCAGCACTCTCTGTTGATACGTCCAGAGCGAGATAATATTTACACAGTACTGCAAATCGCAACAATGACTATAGGTTGAGTGAACTCGTGTTCTTTCTGTTGAAGACTGAGATTCGAATGTCTGATGATTCGACGTATCAAACAATAAGCTTTATTGTTACAATGGCAGGGCCTATTTAGATCCCATTCAGTGAGGGCTACCTTTGATTTAGTTTCCTAGATGGAACTGTGCGATCCTCAGTACAACAACGTTTGGGCTCAAAAGGTGGCATTAAAGGGAAATCTGGAGCACATGGATTAGAACGGCGAAGTTCAGTTTGACGTGAGCGATCACCAGGCTTCTTAATGAACATGACCTTGAATATACCAGACCATTATGTCGCACAAACGGTCCCTAAAGGTTGCAAGCAACGCAAAATCATGCCCTACAAAAGCTGAAACTAAAAGGATGTTATTGAAGGAAATTCAATTAAATCAGCTGTGAAAGTTCATACAAGCATTCTAATCAGGCTAGGAGCCTTTGTGGGAAGGCTTTCAAAGAAGATGAACACCAGAATCAAATCAATAAACTTGTTTCCGATTAAAAACGCGTATTTCATCATGTCACCTTTTACTGAACAGCCAAAGTCAAACTTCCATGGTTGTTGGGTACTAATCCCACCGCTAACATGGATGATGATCTTGCACATCTCCTAGAAAAGCAGCCTTTTCATACATTCCAAACCACGTCGGTGATAGCTTAAACCGCATCTCAACTAGAATCTTGTAGGTGTTTCTAAGCAACGAACTGGAATACCGAAGACTTGAATATTTTAACAAGAAATCAATTACTTGCCAGAAGACGGGTAATCCTCCTCTGATGAGGGCAGTGCCCTCAATTTGGCTAAACTGAGTGGTTTTTACTCAGCCAAGATGCGATTCAAGACAACTGAAAGCTGAGACACATCACGACAATCTTCAAAGGAGGCCGATTGAAAGGTACTTCGAACCACCTAACGGTTATTCTCCTAACAAAAACTCCAAGTGTTATGAAATCCCTAGTTAATCGTGGTTAAAGTACCGATTATAACATCCAAAAACCCCATTCACCCATTTCGGGGACAGCCAGTCCTGAATTCCTAATGTGATAAGTCCTGTGGAGAGATAGGTATCCGTCCTGTATCGTAAGACGGAGATGGACGTTATGCATGTCGATTCATGCAGGGCTTTTAGTTGAGTCGATCATATATATATCATCGGTAATTTTGAGCTAGTAGGTAGAATGACTTGTAATACCTCAGTAATTTGTCCTTTAAAGTGAAGCACACGTTTTCCCTGGCCACTAATGTTATGTTGAGGTCCCCAAAAATCAAATACTAAAACTCTCCTCTTGACTTATATCGATGATGTTTGTCAGAAACCATAGTCTAAAGCCCTATTTTTTGCTGGTGTTAGACTGTGGAGAGAAGTTTCAAATTCGGATACAAGCTAACATTATGAATATCCGACTTGACGTCAAAGTTTGGTGGTTAGAGGTGAAATTAGTTTCAACATTTCAGAGCGTAATGTAGTCTATCTGGGATACGTGTTGAACTGCACACAATTAAGGCAGCTCATACTTCGGTAGGTGTCACAGGTTGCAAAAAGATCTAGGTATAATGTAGCTCTATAATCTTAAGTTTTGCGTCATCTGCGACTAAATGGCTTAAAAAGATCTCTCACTAGCAACTTCGTTGAGCATGAATTTTTCACTTTATTTTTGAAAGTATTATTC